TCTATAGTGGGCACCGTCACTACCACTGTTTCAACACCCAACTTATCATTGATACCCTTGGACACTTGAGATATGTTCAAGCCGGGTTTCTTGGTAGTACACACGATGCGACATCTTACAGGCTGATGACCCGCATTGGACCAGGACAGCCTCTGGACCTACCACAAGGTGCAAAACGTCTAGCGGACAAGGCTTATYCTGATGGTGGACCATTGCTAACGGCCGTAAAAGCAAATCAAATGCATTTGCTGAACCCCAGAGAAAGAAGGCGGGCAAGGCGCTTTAACAAGTGTCTGTCACGACGACGAATCAAGGTGGAGCATGTATTTAAAGAAATAAAAGTGTACAAAGCCATATCACAGTTATGGAGACATCCTAGATGGCTTCTTCCAGTATGTGCGGAGCTTGCGTCATTTCTTGCTGAACGTCGAGTACGCTTATTTGAACATTTATAACAAACTAAAAAGGTATTTCTGTGTACAGCAAATTTCCAGGCTAGGTTAGTCCACTCATTTGTATTTTTTCGGATACAAACGTTGATGTTGAATAAAAAAAATAAAATCTTGTAACACTTGTTGAGTTTTYAATAAATTTAGAACGTTGAGTTCGTTTACATTCCTGGAAATTAAGACAAGTTCACAGAAAGTGCAATAAGACTAGCATTTTAAGGTTAAAACTTCTTCACGCAGATTATTTCGGTATAATTTAGCTGGCAGTACGGTACGTAGATCATTAGCATATTAGCAAACTCATTAGAAAGTTTAACCCCGGTTGTTGGAAAACGTTCTATTGTTACTCAACATACTTGTTTCACATTGTCTGCCAGTGTATCCATTACGACAGGAACAGTGATACCAGCCAACACCACCCCGACAAATACCTCCATTACGACAAGGGTTACAGCTACACGAGTACGAGTCTAGATTCAAAATGAATGTGATTTGTTTCAGAAAATGATATTAGTAAGGACTGGGCAAGACAACCTGGGGATCCCTATATATCTCAGACCACGTGGGAATAATCTATTTCCTCTAAATTGTGTCAGTCTTTTCAAATACCCAAGAGGCCTCTGGAATCCGAAAAAAACAATTTGGAGGTCACCATGCATTTAAGCCAGACAATTAACGTTAAACACTGATGACGCAAGCATTTTTTAAGCAAGAGGGGGAAAAAAATCATATTTCAAACAATTTTGTTATATTGTACTTGAATCTTAGGCATTCCAGCAGTTGTGCTCTTTACAAAATAAACATTTGTGTATCATAAAAAAAWTTCCTTTTTATTACTTCAAAAGTTTCAAGTTTTAATTGCCAATTCCTAAAATAACCATATGATGTTTACGTGATTTTCTTCAGATATTTGTTGCTTTATCTTTCTGACATTTATTCGTTCATATTCATGTGGATATGAAAACATTTGATAGAAACATTACTCCAGAGAACATATCATGTAAAACTCCCATGGTTCATTGGAAACGAGTAATTCACATACAAATATGTATATTTTAAGAGTATGCTACCACACTCCAGACAAAAGATGACTTGCCAAAACTCAATTCTATGTTGTCACTAACTTGTTTCACATTGTCTCCCGGTGTAACCATATGGACAGTAGCACATGTACCCTGAATAGGTAGGAGCACACGTGCCATCATTACGACAAGGACTGCTTGCGCATGTGTTGTTCGAACCTGAATAAAAAATGGCAAACAATATTACAATGAAGAGTATAAACTGCATATATAAGTTGACAATTAATTCATTGAATTATGGATTTATAAGTCAATGTAGATTTAGCCTTAAACTTCTAGATCTTATAGCTAGAGACGATTAAGCACCAAATAGAGCCACACTTACCTGTCCCGTTGCCACAGTAACGGAGGCTACAGGTTGGTGGTCTGACAAGCTCGTACAGGTAGAATCCTCCACAGTTTCTGACACGAATGTTGTTGTCCCATCTACAGCAGCTACTATCCCAGTGATAGCACACCCTACGAGTCACGATACCCTCTGCTTGGGTGGGGTGAGAACCATTCATCCACCCAGATGCATGAGTTCCGCAGTGGTCTTTAGGGGTGCAAGATGTTGGCATAGCAGTCCCAGCATCACCCATGAACCGGTACCATGCCCGGTCGAGGTGGTTATCGCACAGTAATACGTCACCTCTGAACACTTCTTGAGAACGGTTACGTGAGTTTAACACGGTGTAGTTACTGCACTCTAATTAAAATATCTTCAATTAGCAAATAAAAAAGCAAATGGTTTTCAAAACTTTCTTGAAAGATTGCTTTAACATTCTTTCTATTATCAATACAGGTTTTTAACAACTATTTAAACTCGTCAAGATGTCACATATAATATTCAGGTTGCTGAGAGAAAGAAGTCACCGATAGTCAAAATGTATCGGGCTGTCATTTCCTAAGTGTCTCGGATTGATTATATCGATATGATAGTGATTGGTTGCTGTAGGTTACTAGTTGTAAATTTATTACGCTTTATGATCGTGATCTGCACATTACCTGTCCYATTAATAACGTGTACTACAAACTGCAGATCCACTGAGCCCAAACTGCTAGACGGATCAAACTGCGTCGTCCCTGAAGGAAAATCTTCAAGTTTCAAGATGATTGGGAAGAGTTGACTTGCGTTACCATTACCATTATAACTGAGAGTACAGTCACCCTGAAAATGATCATAAAGGAAGTAAGCATACAATTCTCTGTAAATTCCTGCCTGTAGCTTACCTCGTTTAGTACTCCATGTGGAAAGTATGTACACATCCCTTTGCACCAGGTGATCTCGTTTTGACAGCCCATCAAAAACCAGTCAATCATCGCGCAGGAAGAAATCTGATCAGGCGGTCCATCGAAAAAACATGGCGACCAAAGTCAGAAAAATTACTTTGAATCTTTTTCCCTAGTTGTTATGGACTAGCAATACATTTGAAATTCTACCTATTCTTATAACGAATACCTATGGGTCAAATGGTGCATTGCGGTCTCAATTCTTCTATGAAAGTATCGTGAAATGATAGCTCTTTGTTCGCCGATAAGCAACTGAAACTGGGACCGCCTGATCAACTACAACAATCCTTTTGCGCGCGTCCACCGAGATCGTTGACCTGGTAACATTCCTGCCTGTAGCTTACCTCGTCCAGTACTTCGTGAGGAAAGTAAGTATACATTGCTCTTTAACATTACAGCTGGTAGCTTACCTCGTCCAGTACTCCATGAGGGAAATAAGTACACATTCCTCTGTAACATTCCTGGTAGCTTGCATTACGACAACGCACTATGTCACCATCAGGATCTTCAACAGGAATCTTAATGACTGATGGGATACCTTGAACTACGTAGACCGTTAGTGAAATGTTGGAGACTGGCGAAGAGTTATTGAAGGTGCCGCTCACAGTTCTGTTGACCCTTGCTTCCAGTTGCATAATGTCATTAGGATTGGAATATGTAATTCCATGTATCCAATTACCTCTATCAGTTATTCTTAAGTAAACAAGGTAGAAAAGATTCGTGAAAAATATAAACATTAAAAAGAAATTAATAAGCAAATCATAAGCAGAATAACTCTATTGGCGGGCTAARGTCAATTCTTTTCTTTTGGGTACATCAAAGGATTTCTATCTTTCCACAGAATGCTTTATTAGTTCCAGTATTTAAAGTCAGGGCAATCGAACCATAACCAGTAAGGTCTTTCTCAAATGCTTTTACTGCATTCTGTTTTAAGCAGTTTGGAGGGTCAAGTGTTATTCCAACATTTGTCATAGAATTTGCTAATTTATAAGGAAATCTTTTGGAAATATAATTGAAATTGAATTATGTAGTCTACGGGGGCACATTTTATGTCCTTTGACTGTAAGATAAAACTACATTAACAATAAAAATGAAATGTGAGAGGTACAGGCAACCGAATGAGTTTCTCGCTTAATGTTTGTTTTCTAGCTGTCAGGTGACGTTTTCTTTTTTCCGTCTTTCTTTCTTTAAAGTAACTCTTTACTAGTTTTATGGCATACCTTACATTCCACCAGTCACCGCCATAGTTTCCCGCATATGTGAAGGAATTACTTCCTTCGCTCCAGTCTTCTTCGACGTTAAAGTTAGTGCAATAAATGTTTGCTCTTCCACCAGAAGAACTTGATACAATTGACCCGTGATAACTTTTTACTTTCCAAGTATTGGAAAACGAGGTGGATGCAAGGCTTCTGTTTGCGACTCTATTACTGTCACAATATACAGCACCTCGGCGGAATGAAAGCCTGAATGTGAAGTCCACCTGGTGAATGAAGAATACATATGGATTTATTAGTAATTGTCATTAGTTTTTCATTAGTTGGCAATTGCTTAACCAACCAGTAGCTTACTGATCAGTTAATCATATCCATATATTGGATCATTAATTTCACCATCTTGCACATCATCTCATTCGAACCAATCACAAAAGATACTTGACATTTTCTAGACAATTATATCAAGGAATCTATTTGAGTGTTGACCTCGACTACTTGCGAAACAGCGCTGAAGAAAAGCCGCCATTGATGCAAAAAAATCTGCGAAGATTTCCAGGACCAATGCGCACAAAAGCCTTGAAAATAACTAAAAAGACCAGCTGAACACGTAATAAGTATGTTCCTAATTGCTCAAGTGAGAAAAGGTTTAAGCGGCATCTATCCATCTGGGCTTTTTGGCAACTGTTTCTCGAAAGTGGTCTTCTCCTCAATTTTCCGCGAAAATCAAGGAATCATTATCGTTAAAAGAAGAAGATTAATTGCTGAATCATGTAGTCTGTTCAAGGACAAAACAAGGACTAAACACTTGCATGCGTGGCTTGAGACCAATTGAAATTTCTCCCGACTCAGTTCAATTGCCATTCATGATTGATTTAATTTAATTTCTTGCTTCAACTTTACCGAGTATGGCGAGCTTCCTTTTGGCCTGAAGGAGATTGTACCTCCTCTGTAATGCGATGAGTGAACTTCACCAACAAAAAACACAAGGACAGCAATGATAAAATGCACAATGATCATGGCTTCGTTTTCTGCGGAATAACCCTTGTATGACTATGGTAAAAATTCACTATAAATTCGACTGAACCTGAAATTGAAATAACATCAGGTCAGCGTATGGACTATGACTGGGGCGCTTTGTGAAAACACTTTATGACAAAGCCTCACCTTAAATGAAGTGTATCTAATTGGCCATTGGTCACGAGGTTGAAAGAAAAAAATGACCCTGTTGTCATATGCTCACTCGATTAATAAAAGAAATTATCGTAAAAATCTTTCGTAGAACTAATATTTACATTATAAAAGTTGATTGAAAAACGGTACAGAAACATGAGAATAATGGTGTAAAGACACTGACATCAAGATAATTAAGTGGCTATTGTGCATGGAATTTATTTCCTGTTGACTCATTAAATCTGCGCAGCAAACGGTTTTAGTGTCATTTCCAGAGATGTCAATGTTTGTCCTATTTTTTAAGGGCTGGCCTTAGACCTTTATTACAATAAAAGCCAGACTTGTTTTGATTAAAGCAAGTAGGTAAAGTAATCAAACTTTGCCTCCATAATTAAACTGTCTAAATCAAATCACAAGACAATGAAGCGTAGCTAATTTCGTCAAAAAATTCTCGAAAGTTAATAAGCGCACCTTTATTAAAAGGTATCAGAACAATTGATAAGGAGATGTCAAGATTAAAATATTTTCTTCCTCGATTTATACTCGCATATATAAAACGTTTTTGGGTCGCTTCTTCGGTTCTGTATTAAAGGGACATAATGTGAAAACAAGGGACTAAACAAGGATAGTAAATATTTACTAAGTCTCAGTAAATATTTCAAATCCGTAAGGGTCTTGTAATTGTTTTAAGAATCTATGACGTAGGACATACATGTACGACTACACGTATCGCTATGAAAAGTCAAGTATTTTTGTTTGGTAAAATGTTTTCGACAAAAGTCAAATTCAAATTTACAAGTACCTTTTGCCATTATATGAAAAAAATATATGTAAAAATTACAAAGCAAAACAATTCTTAAAAGAAAATAAAGTGATTTTCAGTGTTTGATTACCACTGAACTTAGTCATGTTTTTTTTTTTAAATGTCCGTAAGATGAGAGGGGGGTTGTATAAAAGAAGTGCATTATTAAAAGAATCAAGGATTTATCAATGTTTTATAAAAAGCAATGAAATTTACTGAATAGCCTGCGTAACCGCGGTGGGCTTGTTGGTGCTGTAGGGAAGGGGACTAGGGGGATCCCCCAACCCAAACCCTCTGTATGGGTCTGTCACTTGTTCAGGACTCGTCACGGCAACTGATTTAGGGCATGGTCTAGAACATGGACTGGACTGGACCAGAGGAAAATTGGACCGGACGTAGAAAACATGGACCGTGATAGAAAATATGGACTCAGATGCGCCTGACCCCGAGTCCATATTTTCTACCACGGTCCCGATGTTTTCTACGTCCAGTCCATGTTTTCTTGTGTCCAGTCCAGTCCATGTTTTAGACCATGCCACTGATTTAGGACGTGGCGGATCTCTTATCGGATATTTATCAAAAATAATTTTTAATTTGTTATCTGCTATGTGTTATGATACTATTCCGACAGGTTTATCATGACAACCTATGGAAAATATATAAGCATGGTAGCGACTTTGTTATAACGACTTGTAAAAAATATTCAAACTTGCAGTACACATTTTTTGCTTGAAGCAACAGAGTTACGAGACGTGCAAAAGAGATTAGAAGACAATCAAATGTAGTTTGCAAAGATATTAGCTATTTGTAGCTACTCTGGAAATTCAAGAAAAAATAAAGTTCATACATGTATGTGCCCATAAACGAACAAAACTGATACTTACCAAAAGCGTGCCATTCCGGGAGAGGAACTGAGATGACCAACACAAAGAAAGAAAAGAAAGAAAAAATCTGCATGCATGCGATAGTATATCATTTTCACCACCAAAAAAGCCATTCACCTCTAAAGCGCGGCTAAGTTTTGGGAACACGAATTTTGCCGAGGCTAAAGTATTATTCTAGGGGAAACGTTCGCCGAAGGGGAGGTGGGTAGGGTCAAAAATCCGTCTAGCACTGACTTGTACTGTGTGACTTTAATAACAAATGAGCCAAAAGCTAAGATTTTCTCGCTTAAACTATAAGCAACTTCCGACCTGGTGGTATCACACCTAAAAAAACATGCTAAAATTCGGCACTTACTCGTTTCATGGCTATAAGTAGATTTTTTCCTAGTGGTAAACTACGGGCCTTTTATAACAAACAAGGAACATTAAGTACGGAAAAGTTTGGAAAGTAGGAAGGCTTAACTCGTAAAAAAACGAACATGGATAACAATAACTTAAACCAGTCGTGATAAATGTTAGTCTCAATTGCTGCCGTTCTTATTGTCGGTCCAAAAATCCCTATCGGAACGACACTAAGGACGAATGCAATGGAGACTAGATGAATATTCAGTAATTTATACAAATAAGAGTATCGCAAAAAAAAAAAAAAAAAAAAATCTGACCTCCAATTTAACAAAGTACCTCGACTACTATCCAAAGCTTTATTAATAACTATTTTTAATAGTTATTAATTTCGCATTGCTTTAAAAAGCAATGTGAAATTCCATATAATGTTCTGAAAATTGCAAACACCGTCAAAGGATCACTACCCTACTTTATTAGCAGTGATGCAGAGTTTTGTATCAGAGAACTAAGAGTGTACACCTATGTAAAGGAGTCAGATACTAATGGTATGAAGAAAA